TATTTAAAATATTTATACTCAAGACAATAACATATTAAATTCGATTAATGAAAAAATAATAAGAAAAAAAATGAATTGAAAACTTAATAAGTAAACATTAATTTAAAATTTTAAAATATTCTTTTTCTAAAAATTCACATTTGGCACGTCATTAAATAAGTATAAAAAATTATATTTTCAAAAATAATGATCATAAAAAATAACTTCATAAAGTTAAGTGAGTTTTGAAAAACAAAAAATGTGAGTAATTATAAAATTAAAGAAAATGATCAACTATATCATCAAATTTTGGGGGAAAAAAATTATTCATCTCATATGTTAAAAGTTTGGTACATCTATACAATTTTTAAAGGTTCATGCACGTCATTATTATTAACATGAAATGATATAATAATTAATTTTTTAACGAATGACATAGAATTTAGGGATGTACATCCCAAACTAAACTAGTAAAATTTAGATTTTCAACTTCCATTTTTCGGGGTTTCTCAGATTTGCTGATTTTTTCAGGTTCTTTCGATTAATATACTTTGACATATAATTGACTTGTGTTTTATATATTTCTTTAATCTACCAAAGTATTTTTTAAGAAAATGACGCAAAATATAATATGGGTGGTGACACTGAAATATTCAACAAAAATAATAGTGAAATTACATAAAATAAATATTACACATAAATAAGTTAAAATAAAAATGATCATAATTTTAAAGCACTAAATCATGCAAAAATAAGTCTAATAAATATTAATCATATGATTAAATATTAAATAAGACAAAGTAAGTTTATGTATTTAAATGAAGTTAAGGACCCGGCTCCTCTCCATTTCTCTTCTCTTCATTTTCCCCAAATTCTAGCTTGGATTGGAGACATGTGTCATTGTTTAGAAGTATTGGTTCAGATTTAATTGATTAAAATAAAGTCCTAATCATAGTTATTTACTTCCATATATTAATATATTTTCTTCTTAAATATTTTTACAATCCAACAATTCTAGATTTATATTATATATATTTTTTAATAAATATATCTAAAAGAATTTCTTTTCTTAGTTATTTAAAATAATTTTTTGTTATTTTTTACTTTTGAACTGACTCTATAGATTATAAGTTTGTATCACCAATTTCTTATATGTCACATTAATAATCATATAAATAAAGGGTTATTAATGGCCACAACTTATATATTATAATTAAGAAAAGTTCAGTCGACTGAAACTACTTAAAAGCTGAAGAAAAAATATGTATTTAACTAAGATTTTTTTTAGTGGTGATCACTTATATTTTTAATATTATTTATATGATGGGTTTTTTATTAAGCCATATAATATGAACCGTTTCATTTTAGGATTTATGTTATTATATTATATAAAAAATCAACAAAAAATTACTTAAGTCTACGAAAAGAAATTCTTTTAAATATATTTAGAAAAAATATAATGTAAACCTAGAATTGTTGGATTGTAAAAATATTTAAGAAGCAAATATATAAATATATGGAAGTAAATAACTATGGTTAGGACTTTATTTTAATCAATTGGATCTTAACTATTAATTCTAAACTATGACATGTGTCTCCAATCCAAGCTATAACTTGGGAAAAATGGAGAGGAGTCGGATTCTGAAGTAAAGGTATGCAGATATTCGAAAACAAGAGTTCAATATCTGCAAAGTAAAAAAATATCAAGAGTTGTGAATCATGAATGTTTTTGGTTTCAACGACTAAAGTTGTCACAAAAGTAGTATTTGACGTCTCTTAGAGTTTCGAGTGCTAAAATATAATAATATCGATTTCATCACTCCCGAAATGCAATAATTGGTGGAGAGTTTTCGGTTTCAAATTTGGAGTCTTTTGAGGATTCAAGGTCCTAATTAAGTTGAAAATTTGTGAAATTTTAACATTTGGGTTGACTTTGGTCACAATTCGAGGTTCGAATGGTTGGATTAGATGACTATTTAAATTTTTTAGGTTTATTAGAGTAGTTTAAAATGAATTTGGATGATTATTTTTAATTTTGAGATTATTTTCAAACAGATTTTATAGAATAGTGAATGAAGAGGGGAATTAATCAATGTATGAAGTATTCCATTGAATATTAATTACTTATTAGTTTTCCTAGGTTGGTCAAATTGTATATTTTCAAGACTAATTAACTAGTCTATCAAGGGTATAATAAGAATAATATGATAATTTATGTATTGATTTTATAAAATGATAAGTATTATGGTTCAATTATTTATCAAAAAGAATGATATATAAAAAGAAGTGGACGGAGTACTATTCTTTTACAATATTTAGATGACCTATATTTAATAATGATTATTTGATAAAATTATTCGTAATGCTTCTCAATCTCTATATCAAAGTCCTAATATGGACAATTATTATTGACAAAGTGAGTAAAATACACATTTTCATATCTCTTCCTACTCCTGGTCGAATATAAATCTCTCATTATTGAGCATTATAAAGTCAATAATTCTTTAAAAAAAATATTGTTAAAGCAATGATATAATATAAAATTTGAGTTTTCCCTTTGGAAGAGTAAATAGGAACTTAAAAGAAAGAAATAGGTAATTTTGGTATATCGGCCTTATAATACAATTGTTTCCTTGTTTTTAATCATCAAGTAAAAATGACTAACAAGTAGGTAATTAATTATATTGTCTAGAATAATTCTAATTTCTTAAGTCAAAAGTGAAATAAATAATTTGCTTCAAATTATTATCAACTATATTATATGGCAAGAAATTTCCAACACCTCAACCGACTAAAAGTAATATATTATATCTTCTCTTTTCGAGTTTAAACTATATAGAACAAAAAAAATAGACTGACGATACTAACCTCTGTACGTATGTAATCCTTTTAATAATGTCAATTGTCAACCAATATTCTTAGGAAATTGGAGGGTCACAATGTCAACAATGGAGACAAGTGAGGCTTACACGTATGTAACTACATTAATTAATTAATTACTAACATGGCACATTGACAGGAGTGTGTCACCCTTAACAAGAGGTTTCGGGTTTGAGCCTTGGTTATGGAGAGAATTCTAATGAGAGCGTCATCCCCAAATGGGCTCTGCAAATTGCGATTCGAATTTAGCCAGTGTTCCAATTTGAGCTCCAAAATCTGGATGAGAAACAAAAAAAAACTACATTAATTAATTAATTACCGCATAATATACTACTAATAATGTAACTATAATAATGCATAAATAAAATACTAATACCAATGGAACTAAATTAATGCATAAAATATTACTAATAATGTAATTGAATAAACATTGTGGAATTAGAAAGAGCATCGCTTATTAGTTGGTATTACGTAAGATGACTAATTGCACGAAATCATTTACCTAATAATGAATCTTACTTTTCCACTATCAAAACACTTTTTTCTTTAAAAAAAATAGACAGTGAAGACATCATCAGAAGACACATTTTATTTTAAGATTGTACATAAGGACTTGATTCATCACTGAATAAACCTCAAATAAGCACTAATATTCACATCCAAGAGGTTAGTTCATTTCTTCTCATCTCTCGCAATCTTTGTTCTTCTTTCTAGCTTCTTAATCATTATGGGTATTTGTTTGTGTGACAAACATTTCTATAATCATGGTATCACCTAGGTCACCTTCTGAGTATTTGTTTGTGTTACTATTTGTTTGTTGTTGCCAGTCTGCCTAGCATACAAACTTTCAAGATGTTCTCGTAGAGTTTGAGCATGTGTCTTCGGAGAAATATAGTTCAACACATTCTCGTCGATCCATTGCCTAATGAATACACAAACTTGTCTGTGCAACAGATTCCACTCTTCATCTGTTTTATTATCAGGCTTTACAGTGGTAAATACTGGTTTGTAAATTTTTTTAACATAAAACAGATCTTCCATTTTCCCTTTCCAAATGACATAATTAACACTATTCAAAGTAATCATTCTACCTGTGTTGGTTTCATCGTTTTGCCCAAAAAAAATATTGTTATCGCAAATCAAAGTTAATCTTTTCTGACATGGAAGTTCAGACTATGTTGCAACCACATAGCATACTCAGATAAAATCTTTGCTCTGATACCAGTTTGTTGAGAAAACGTTGATAAACACAAAAATATATATGGTAAAAGTAATGGAAATAAAACGGGAAAAATGACGACACCAAGTTAGAGAGAAAAAATCATTTTGAGAGCAAACTGAGGTATTTCATAGACTATACAAGAAAAATAGTCTGTGAAGAAAAATAAAGTGTGAACAATATCTTAGTAAGATGGAAACCAAAAGAGTTTTGTTTATTTTGAGTGTGGAGTAGTCCTTTTGAGTATTGTATACATGACTACACAGGGTAAAATTCCTTACTATAGTGATATCAGTTGCTCCTCTTGACCCGTAATTTTTCCCTTATTTAGACGGGTTTCCACGTAAAATTCTTGGTGTCATTATTTTTTCCCATTTTATTTCAATTACTTTTACCATTTATATTTTTGTGTTTATACTTTTACCATATATATTTTTGTATTACAAATATTTTTATAATCATGGTATCATCTAGGTCAGCTTTTGAATATAACTCTAATAATTTTATACATATACTTTTTATCTAGCTTACAGATACAAGTAATTTATTTTCTACTTTCATGTTTGTGCGTTTGTGCGGTTTGTGCGATTATACGATATTCCCTTAAATATCCTGTTTGAATTAGCTTTTCGCTTATCACTTATAGGCCAAAAGTTATATGTTATAACTTTTGACTTATTTTTATTATTTTCGTGTAGAATCAAATGTCGTTCAAAAATACTCTACCTCTATGAGGTAATAACAAAGTTTGAGCTCTTTCTCCCTTAGGTCACACATAGTGCATATCCAAATTAGTTGGGAGAGTGGATATCGGATACCATATGATTATACTAAAAAAAAGGATATGGAAGCATCAGTATTTAACTTTTTTCCCGTTGCATAATTGTGACAGATGTGGTTCTTTTTAGTCCTCAACTGGATTATGCATTCTCTTAAGGGCTGTTTTTGTTTGAAGAAAAGTAGACATCTGCTTGAGACCCATGATACTCTTGCTTCGGAAACTTGTTGTGAGTTAAGAAGGCCCTCTATAAATCTGAATTAGTGTTAAATATTTTTTAAATAATGATGAGTATATATAATGGAGAATATATATATATATATATATATATATATATTGATATCTATGGTAATGTGTTATGCTTTACTCGAGACTATGGTGTCCCTCTACCTTCACTAGGTAGGGACCCCATTTGTGAGATTACATTACATTCCCTACCCCATTTGTGAGATTACATTACATTGTTGGATATGTTATTGTAGTTGTTTATTTTAAGGTGTAATATTGGATGCAGTTAGTGTGAATGATGTGGAGGCCTTATATATTCTATACAAGAGACTAAGCAGATCAATAATTGATGATGGTCTTATTCATAAGGTATGAAAATAATTAATTAAGAAGTAAGCACTAGTTTTGTGATGCAATTAATAAGTAATGTAGTTGAAATATATGCAGGAAGTGTTTGTGCAAGCACTTTTCAGCTGCAGCCACAGGCAGAATCTTTTTGCAGATAGAGTAAGTAATTCATAGTGGCTTCATCACCCTCCACCCGACCCTACCCAACCCCCGGATATATAATTCATTCCTTATTGTTGCAGTTGTTTGACGTATTTGATGTTAAGCGTAATGGAATTATTGAATTTGGAGAATTTGTTCGATCACTTAGCATATTCCATCCAAAGGCTCCTCAACAAGACAAAATCACATGTACGAAGTACGATATATTGCTACATGTCTAAAACATACAGTACTCCCTGCTCACTTTAAAATATATTCTTGTGGAATGTATGCAGTTGCATTTAAAGTGTATGACTTGAAGAACACCGGATACATAGAACGCGATGAGGTAAACAATTGTCTCAACTCTGAACTATCATGTCACTTTTGTTTCTTTAATCTGAGTTCACATTCTTCGTGTACTACATAATAGACGGGTTTAACATAAAAGAAATTAGATCGATAAGTGTTGCTTAATGTGTGGTATATATATATATATATGTGTGTGTGTGTGTGTGTGTGTGTGTGTGTGCGCGTGTGTGTGTGTGTAAATTAGAATTCAAAAAAGGGTCAAAGTTGTCCTTGAACTTAGTAAAATGGTTTTAATTTACTTTAGTTGAGATTTACCTTTGCCATCATCAAATGGATTAGATTTGCCCATATTTTGACTAAACATGCAGAGAAAAACAGGTCAAAACTATCGTTTAACTAATGTAAAATGGACGTATATATAATGTTGTAGGTGAAGGACATGGTATTGGCTATCCTCGAAGAGTCAAAATTGACACTAGCAAATGACACCATTGAAGCAATGGTCCATAAGGTAAACAAAAAAATACTCCTATGCATTTCATAGATTGCTATATATAGTATGATTAGTGCAGACATGGGGGTTTATGGGTTCGGACGAACCTGATAGCTTTTATGTAGACCCTCCTCATATTTGTAGTAGAAAATTAAGAAATAACTTTTATACTCCTAAAAAACCTGATTGACAACAACTCAATGATAAGGAAGGGGAAGGAAAATTAGAACCTCTAAACTCACTACGCTTATGTGCAGACTATTGAAGAAGCAGATCTAAATGGTGATGGACGGATTGATCCAAAGGAGTGGAAGGAATTAGTAAGGAGATATCCTTCTTTAATAAATAATATGACCCTCCCATACTTAGAGTGAGTGAGTTATATTTTTAGGAGTAATTCTCAAGTTCTAATAATTTGGATGATGAACGTACTCTAATTAATACTCTTTATCTAATTCAATGGCCGGCAGGGAAGTAACTGTACTATTTCCATGCTTTGTCATTACAAGTAAAGTTCGAGACTCACAATTGGTATTTGGAAACTGATCCATCCCTACAAACAATTATCGATCATCAACAATTCTAGAGATTGTTCTTCTTTTTGATATTATATGGTTGTTTGATAAACTCATAATCCTGTCATTATATCTATTTTATTTTACCATTCTGACAAAATATTTTGGCGTTAGAGTCTTAAAACATGTGAATCTGGAAGGGCTCATTGTTTATGTATTAATTGCTAAGTTTAATCCAATATAACGTATTGATTTCATTTTAATTTTTATCCAAATAGGTTGTTTATAAACTATTTGGTTTATTATAGCGAAAATTATGTTGAAGTATTTAAGTAGTTATAGCTTAAACTGGTTAATTATGTAATTTGTATAGTAGTCAGCTCATGTGAGTTGTTAGTCAGTTAGAATATTATTAGCTTGTTAGGAGCAGTTACAAATTTAACTTCATATTATATGTACATATATATACTCCACTTGTGGTAGATAATTCAATACAATTTTCATTTTTTACAAATTACATCTTCATTCTCCCAATAATGGAGTCGATTTGTACCGCCCCGCAAGGTGTTATATTAAATTCCAACAATTTCAGCACCTTCGTGAACGTAGCGGAATCATATTGCGATACAGAGGGTCTGAAACACATACCAATTTCAGTTCAACCTTTGAGGATTGTTTGGAGACTAAGATGAACAATTAATGCTCACCATGCCAAGCCAAGAATTTCCCCCAAGGCAGGGACAAAAGCTAATGGGGCAGTTTCCATTTTTGGAAATAAAGTAGAAAGCTTTCTTACCTATTTTTTAACTTTTATTAAGGTTTCCTTTTTAGCATTTCTTTTGGGACTTTGCTCCTACACATTTTGGCTTGCTTATATGAACCTTGTATAGAGTTTTTAGGGATTATTCTTGTAAAAGACTTGGAGAAATACATATAAAAAATTGGCAATTGCCTCCCAACTTAGCCTTCCAATTTTGCCTTTGTTTGTTTGTTTTGTGTGGACAGTTTTGATTGCCTTGCTGCTGCCTCATTATATAATTGTTTGGTTGTCAAGATTGAGCATTTGTAGAGCTATGGAAGCCCTCACTAGCTGTCCCACAAGTTTGAGAAAATAGCCAGTGACAAGTGGTATCAGAGCCTTGGTTAAGCATGACGTCAAAGTCCCAATGGAACGAGGAGGCTGTCCAAGAGAAGGAGCTAAAAGTTCGGAGGGACATTGCCAAGAAAAGTGACAAGAGTAAGGTAAGAGACCCTTCTTGTAACCCTTCTATTAGTTGTAGAGTTGCTGGGGAAGAGGGGGAAGGGTCAGACACCAGCCAACTGGATGAAAAGATTATCAGAGTGGAGGCGGGGTTGTCGGCCCTAAATAGACGTATTGTTGTTTGAGAATCTTAGTTTTCTTGAATTTGTAGCTCTTGAAGGTTTGGATGATGTCAAGAACAACCTAGTTGAGCTTGAGGAAGTTCATAAAGAGGGTTTGACAACCTCGAACTCATGCTCACCGAGACTCTCTCCTCCCTTCACAGAGAGTTTGAAGAACTTAAACGGCAGGTTGATGAGGCTGCTGAAGCGGAGGTTGCTACTCCCGTGATTGTATGTGAGACACGTATTGAGGCTCCCAAACCCAAAGAATTTCGTGGGGAAAGGAGTGCTCAAGATGTTGAAAATTTTCTATGGCAAATGGATGCCTACTTTGAGCACGTAAATATGCATAGTGAGGCTGCCAAAATCAGAATGGCTATCATGTATTTAACTGATACGGTAATGTTGTGGTGGCGGGAAAGAAGGCGGACATAAACAGGGGGTTTGTTCTATTGATGACTGGGAGCAGTTCAAGGAAGAACGCAAGCGTCAGTTTTTACCTGCAGAAGGTTGTCCATGAGGCCCGTCGGAGGTTGAGGGAGTTGAAACAAACTTCCTCTATTCAGGATTATGTGAAAGAGTTCACGAAGTTTACACTCCAAATTTCGAGCTTGACAAGTGATGACTTGCTGTTTTATTTCTTGGATGGACTCCAAAACTAGGCCAAACAAGAACTCCAATGGCGTCAAGTCCACGACGTGGACAAACCGATAGTAGTGGCAGAATTGCTCAATGAATTCTGGGCAGATGCGGCGAATAAGAGGGACAATCGGAGCAAAATTGTTCCTCCTAAGGTTGACAACAACATGAACAAAGGCATACCAACACCAAACCGAGGAAGTGACACGAGAGGTAACACCCGTAATCAACCCTCTAATTTCTGCAAGAATTATGAGGACCACAAGAAAGGCGTTCCTCATCGTGAAGGTTGTTATATTTGTGGTGAAAACAACGCATGCTGCTCATTACTGTCCATCCTGAGTAAACTGAGTGCTAAGGTGGCTGCCAAAAAGCAGCAAGAGAAGGCTGCTACGCAAATTAGAGGTTCGTCGGAGGAGCAACATGGGCAGAACAGCGAGACAGACAAAGGGAAAAATGTTGTTGTTGGTATGTTCAATCACATGGCGTTGTTCAATCATATCGCACTTGATGCTTTAGCTTCTCATCCGACTAGTATAAGACTGCGAGAATCCCTGTTCGTCAATGACAAGTTGAATGGCAAAGACTTGCAGATTATGGTGGACACGGGTGTGACTCACAATTTCGTGACAGAGCAGAAGGCCAAGGACTTTGGCTTTGACTTATGTTGCCAGCAACACTATGTTGAAGACGGTCAATGCCCTTCCCACTTCTATTCATGGCTTCGCTCCTAAAGTCCCCATCGATTTAGAAGGTTGGACGGGGTTGACCGACTTCACCATTGCATCTACGGACGTGTTCAATATTATTTTGAGGTTGGACTTTTGGTAAGAGGTTAACGCGTTTATTTCACCGCGTCACAACCGGCTGCACATCAGCCATACTGGAGGTTCATGCGTGGTACCCCTTATTCGGGTACCACAAAATGGGATGTACTTGTCGGCGATGCAGATCGTTAAGGGTTTTAAGAGAGGTGAGCTAACATTTCTTGCTGCCCTTGTTGGAGGCGTCAAAGGCTCTTCTAAGGCAGTACCTTTGCCTCCTTGCATTGAGCAGGTCCTTAGTGACAACAAGGACGTGATGCCGGAAGAACTTCCCCAACGGTTGCCACCTCGAAGGGAAGTTGATCACCGGATTGAACTGATTCCTGGGGCAAAGTTGCCTGCCATGATGCCTTATTGTATGGCACCTCCGGAATTGGAGGATCTGAGGAAACAACTCAAGGAGTTGCTAGATTCGGGACATGTCAGGCCGTCCAAGGCGCCATTTGGTGCGCCTGTTTTGTTCCAAAAGAAGAAGGAGGGGACACAGCGTTTATGTATCGATTACTGGACCCTAAACAAGGTCACAGTGAAGAAGAAATACCCCATTCCTTTTATTGATGACTTAGTTGATCGATTAGGACAGACCAAGGTATTCACGAAGATGGATTTGTGGAAAGGTTATTACCAAGTTCGGATTGCCGAAGGTGATGAACCTAACACAACTTGTCTGACTCGTTATGGTGCTTTTAAGTGGCTGCTCATGTCCTTTGGCTTGACAAATGCACCGGTGATGTTTTGTAGATTGATGAACAATCTGTTCTATCCTTACTTAGATAAGTTTGTGGTCATCTACTTGGACGACATTGTCATCTATAGCAATAGCATAGAGGATCATGTGGAACACTCGTGCAAGGTGTTCAAAGTCTTGCGCGACAACGACTTGTGCGTGAAGCGAGAGAAGTGCAGTTTTGCCCAGCCTACTGTCCAATTCCTTGGACACACGATTAGTCATGGTGAGATAAGGATGGACGGAGAATAGGTGGAGGCAATTTGAAATCGAGAAGCTCCAACTAAGGTACCCGAGTTGCGGTCCTTACTTGGCCTCGCCAACTATTACCGGCGTTTCATTTTTAGCTACTCGGCTATTCCTTCTCCACTCACTGATTCGTTGAAAAAGTATCGTGAGTGGGAGTGGACTAATACTTGCCAAACTGCCTTCGAGATGTTTAAGGCAACAGTTACGGAGGAGCTCGTCTCGGCACAGCCCAATTTCACTAAATCGTTTGAGGTTCGTACTGATGCTTCTAACTTTGCTATTGGTGGCGTCCTAATGCAAGAGGGACATTTGATAGCGTTTGAAAGAAGAAAATTGAACTATGCAGAGCGGTGGTATTCTGCTCATGTAAGGAAGATGAAGGACATAGTTCATTATCTAAGAAATTGGCGTCATTATGTATTGGGAGCACATTTTGTAGTCAGGACGGACAACATCATGACGACTTACTTTCAGTCTCAAAAGAAAGTGACTGCCAAATATGCACATTGGGAGGACTTCTTGGTTGAGTTCGATTTCACCTTTGAGTATAAGCCGAGAAAGGCTAATGTTGTAGCCGATTCACTTAGTCGCAAGGCTTTCTTGGCTGCGATCGTGAGTTAAAGTTACAACACTATTGTTGAAGAGATAAGAGAAGGCATGCAGCATGATCCCGTGGCAAAACAACTTCTCGTCTTAGCTAAGCAAGGAAAGACGAAGAAATTTTGTGAAGAAAGTGGTCTGCTCTATACTACGGAAAAACGTGTGTACGTCCCGAAGTGGGCTAATCTTCGACGAACATTGATCAAAAAGGGACATGACACTGCATGGGTTTATCATCCTGGATAGAAGAGGTCTTTGGCCTTGCTAGAGGATTCTTATTATTAGCCTCGGAAGCTAGACGACATCGAGATGTATGTGTGGACTTGTCTTATTTGCCAACAAGACAAGGTCGATACGAAGGCTTCATTACGTGCTTGCCGAACTTGGAAGGATTTGGAACCATCATGGTTGTGGTTGATCGCTTCTAAAAATATGTGACTTTCACTGCCACGACGACCAGTTGAAAAACTAAGGAGGTAACCCGTATTTTCCTACACGGCATCGTCAAGTATTGTGGCATACCCAAGCACATCATCAGTGATCGAGACCCTCGATTCACCGGTACATTCTGGAGGGAGTTGTTCAGTCTATTGGGGTCGGAGTTACATTTTTCGACCAGCTTTAATCCACAGACGGATGGAAGACCG